AATCAAGGCCCGCCGCCAGTTTAAATTTAGCTTTGAATGAAATAAACTTAAAAATATAAAAAAATAATTCTCTTCCACCAAAGTAAAACCTAAAAGGTACCACTAAATAATACTCCCTCTCAATCCTAATATAGAATAGTTTTAGAGATCTTGTTTCATTCAATATATAAGAAATTGGGTAAGTTTTATATATTTTTTCTCATGCCTCACTCAATAATTAATGAGGGTGTTTTAAATAAGTCAAATGTTATCAAATGTTATATTTATTTTATTTAAAGGAACGAATATAAAGATGTAAGAATTTTTAAAAAACTAAAATTTTAATCAACTTTTTTTGAAAAACATAAATTAATTAATAATGATTTATATTATGATCTAGAAAGAGTATATAAAAATTATAAACAAGGCGTTAGCCAATATGTAGAACTGCTTTTTGCTTTAAATATGTGCATTACTAATTCTCTAAATGAGCCTTTGTTGATTATCTCATCATCCCATTATACAATTCGGGTTTTTTTAAATACTTCAAAAATGAAGTTAATCCTTGTTTGGTCATGGTTTTCGTCCTCTTTTATAAGGCACTTTTGATAAAATTATGTATGTCAATAAAATTAATTAAATATAATTATAATCATATTTTTTTAAAACACAAATTTAAATTTTCATAAATATAAATATTTAATATAACTTTATTTGTGAAACATTAAATAAAAATAAAATATAATAAGAAGGGAAAGGTAATATTTGGAACAAGTATAATTAATAAAATTTTATTTTTATAAACATGTTTTATATATTTTGAGACACTAAATTACTTTTAAAAGTATTTTATAAATTGGAACAGAGAAAGTACATACATTATGGAATAGGGATAGGAATTATGAAAACAGGAATTAAATGGAGATAAATGTTGGGGAAAAAAACATGTTTGGCATGCGTAGTAATGAAAACAAAATAATTTACTGAGTGATGTTTGGTAGTATTTTTTTTTTGGGGGGTGGGGTTGGGGGAAAGAAGGGCTGGAGATGAAAATCAGTCTAATGAATAAATTACGTACCCTTTATTATAATAAAGCTATTTGAGTTAGATAAGACTTCTAATGAGGTTAGTTAATCCTCCATATGGATGAATGGAAGTTTTGTAGTGAATAAGAAAAAAATAATATTTCCCTTTAATGTTTATAGCTTTAGCTAAGCCCTCTATCATATGCAGAAAATCAAGCTACTGGGTGGGATATGTGTGTGTATGTGTGCTGACAATGTGTGCATATTTAGATTGAATAATTTAGGGAAAATCAGTAAGTGGTCCACGAAAGAAATTTAATTTCCAAAAAAAACCCCATGAAATGCAAAAATAACTCTTAATTAAGTCCCACAAACCTTAGTTGTAAATAAGTTTTTATATAAATTTACTAAAGTGACCTTATCAAAATCACCATGAGGAGAAGAGAGGCTTTTTATTTTATTTTTTTAAAAAAGACCTTTTAGTAATTTTCCCAATAATATACTTGTAACATCTAAACCCAGCAGTGCCAGTTTGGGGCAATTGGCAAGTAATAAACTGCTAATTTTTGCGGAAAGGTTGCATGTTTGATTTTTTTTTTTTTTGTTTATATAACTATTTGACCAAGTTAGATTTGAACATAATAATCGAGTTGAATGGAGTAACTCTTTCAAAAACATCTCCTACATCCACATGGATTCAAATTCAAAATCTTGTGTTTAAGTTGCCATAACTCCTTGCATTAGAGCTAATGTTTGATTTTTCAAGTGATTTATTTATATATTGATAATAAAAAATTAAGATTCTCAACTAGTTTTGATAAGTTTTCAATTGACATTACAATTAGTATATTTCTCAAATAAGTATCCATATTTTTTTAATTATAAGTAAAGACCATGATCTTTTATTAAAATTTTAATAATTTAAGGTCTGTAACTATCATTAATATACTTATAAGATTCCTAATTGTCATTTTCCAATGTAGATAAATTATGCCTTATTATTTTTCTGCTTATGACTAGGGATTCCTAATTCATTTCATGTACATAGCGTGTCAACCATTGCGTGCAATATATATCACCTCTTTGAAAACATAGTAATATGAAATCATCCACTCTATGTGTTGAAAGTTGAGTGGTCTTTGTGTTGTAGAAAGGATTTGGATCCGACACTCAATCTCACGATAACACAATCATTGAGTTTAATCAACTGATTATAAGAGATTTTATCATATAATAATAAAAAAATATTGATTGTCAATTTTTTTTTTGGAGGAACAACATATGTAAAGAGTACTTTAATTATGATGATTGTTTTAAATTTCTAAAAGAAAATCTAGTTACTATAATAGAGACACGTATTATAATCCACTCACCGAATTTAAATTCAATTTGTTATAGCCATTTGATTAAATTGAAAAATTATTATCATGACACGTGAGATATACTTATTGAGTGAATGTGATTAGACCCAAATCTTAATTCAACATGAGTATGATCTCTCTCTCTCCTTACTCATGCTCTTTGTAAATTAAAAATTAAAAGTTGTTTTTGGTAAAGTCTACATCAATTATAAATGCTGAGATAAACAAGAATGTTGAATGTATTGTATATAATAGTCTTTCTAAAACGGCTACGCGTAAAGTAAATAAACAAGATCAGATCATCTAACTACCGAAAAGGTCATGCAAGAACCTTCCAAACTTTTCAACTTAAATAATATTATTATCAAAATAAAAAATTACAGCCCAACTAGGGCCCTAGATCTTATAAAATTTTTAATGAAAGTTATAATTTTCTTGCAATACTAGCTTGTGAGAAAACGAAAATTATATTGTTGTAATAACGGATTAACGGTACAAATTTCTTGTATTTTTAAGAAGTTTGCATTATGATTTATTTTGTTATAATAATTTTTTAGATCCTTTTCTAAGTCCAATTCTTAAAAAAAAAATTGGTGATATATATATATATGATCTAGAAAGCAACGCAAAACAACTAGGAGCTTTCGTCACATGCAGCAGAAGCAGAAGCAGTACACGAAACTATTGCGTCAAAGGAAGAAAGTTCAGCAAATAATAACCCAAATATGTTTTTTTTTTTAATAAATTGATTGTGTACCATTTGAAGACTTAATTGGAAAATCTCTACATTTGCCTTCAATACTTGGAGGAAGATATTTTATTATTATCAAAAGAAATACTCATATTTAATATCTAATTATATCTCGAATATCATGAAATTAAATATGGTAGATTAAAATATCCTGACTTTCATTTTTACATTTACTTCTCTTCTATTTTTTTTTAAAACATTTATAAACCTCTCCCAGTATAAATAGATATAAAACACAATATCCTCTCTAATTTTAAGATTTTATATCTATCCATTCAACCATTAATTGAACGTTGTCACATATATTGAATTAAAATATCTTTTCTTTAAATATAAAATATTGTCTAAACATCATTTAAGTTTCTAAAAAAATTAATGCATATATATTTTTTTACCCTTTTATTTATATTTTAAACTTTTTAGTCATTTAAATATATTTATTCAATAACTTTGTTCTAAAATTTACATATATAAATTGGCCAATATAATATTTCAAATGAAAAATTAAAAAATTACTGAAATAAGGATTTAATATAATAAATTATTTGATATAATTTATATTCAGTAATTTATTATATAAATAAATATATCAAAGGCATTGCTGAGATATCTGTAAGGCCATCATTGCTAATAATGCTGTCATATAATGGGGATTGGATTGGTTTAAGCGGGAGCAGATAATAGTTCTAGATTTTCCAAGATACTGAGAGATAGAATAAAAAATATATAATTTATATTTATATTTTATTAATTTTAACACAATTTTAAATTATTTATTTAAATATCAACATAACTATTTAAAGCTCGTAAAATTAGAAGAGAGAGAGTAGACAATTAGATTACAAAGGTGAATATGAATTTTAATTTTTTAACATAATTATGAATAAAAAATAAGTATTTTAAAATTTTTAACGGAATATTCTTAATGGTGTTAATAATTGAATTAAAGTGTAAATTTTAAAAATAAAAGAAAGGTTTTTGTAATTTGAACAAAACGAAATTGATGTCAGCATACTAGGAGCTTGCTGCGTGAGGACGCAGTTCATGTTTGAATTTGTTGTACATGTGATTGAGAAGTCTTCGATATTAAATTCACACCTGATAATGACACTATAAGTACAAACCCTAATTTCGTCCACATTTAACATTTTGTAATTTCTGTTAAAGAATGTCTTTTTAAGAAATTTCACGGGAGTCACACTAATATAATAAGGCAAAATTTGGATGGAGAGAAAAATAAAAAATATATTTGGAGAAAATAAAACTTTTAAAACTAGTAAAAAATCTTAATACTTAGGAGTTTTTACTCCTATTATTCCTTCATTTCTAATTTTCTTTTCATTTAAATAAATAGTAAGTGTTTAAATAAGGTCAACAGCTCAAATTTTATATACCATAAATTCCGTATTAAGAGATATATACTTTATTTAAGTTTAGTAATACTCAAATTTAAATTAGCCAATATAGTATAATATATATATATATATATATTAACTACTGATTCTACCCAAAAAAAAACAGCTATTGAATTGAAGTCCTAATTCTTTTATATGGAATTACGAAATCACATTATTGGTTTTTTTTCCCCCCGCATTGAAAAGAGCTTCTAAATTGTGGCAAAAAGAAAAATAGCTGTAGAAAAAGTACACATAATTAAAAAAAACTAAAATTTTAATTATTCCTGGAGGAAACCACATGGTATATTATGTAGTCAGAATTTCAGACGCGGTATTTTAAAAAAATAAATAAATAAACTCATTTTCAAAGTCAACAAAGGAAGCTTCATAGGCATACTTCATAGTTCATAACTTCAAATATATACAATTTCAACCATATTGGATACACACGATACAACGCAACTACACACAAGCTTGACCTGCTCAATGCCTTCAGACTTTTTCTGATCAGACCTTCTTCCCAATAAACCTACCCACCATTTCTTTATTGTCCTAATCACTATAAGTTGACATTATCTCAAGAACACGAAGAAGAAGATCTTAACTTCATCTCTCTGCATCTTCATCCGTCTTTCATCAACCTTCCCCCATGGCCGATCATCACAACCAGCAGAAACGAATCCACCCACTCACTGACGTCGAGGCACCACCACGATCACCCTCACCCACCCAACCTTTATTCCCCAAAAACACCTCCAAGTCGTCCGACGACCACCACCGCTCTCCATCTCCGCAACAGCTTCCCCAAAGAACCTTCCCGGTGAGCCACTCGAAGCCACCAAAGAGAAAAAGAAGCTGCTTGTGCAAGTTCCTATGCTGGATCTTTTCTCTCCTCTTAATCCTCATAGTCGCCGTCGGCATAACAGTCGGAATCATCTACCTCGTCTTCCGACCAAAGTTCCCGAAATTCTCCATCGACCAGTTACAGGTTGTGGAGTTCAACCTCACCGGCACCGACAGCAACAACCTCTCCGCCACGTTCGACGCTCGGATCACCGCCACGAACCCTAACAAGAAAATCGGCATATACTACGAAGGAGGCAGCCGCATCGAGTCATGGTACGAGGAAACCAAGCTAGCCATAGGATCGTTTCCGAAGTTCTACCAGGGACACAGGAATACGACGTCGCTTAGTGTCCTCATGACGGGGCAGACACAGGATGCTTCTGGGCTGTTCACCAGGTTGCAGCAGCAGCAACAAGAGACAGGGAATATTCCTCTGAGGTTGAAGGTGAAGCAACCTGTGAGAGTGAAGCTTGGGAAGTTGAAGCTGTTTAAGGTTAAGTTCAGAGTTAGGTGTACGTTAATAGTGGATAGTCTTACTTCTCAAGATGGTATTAAGATTCAGAGTAGTAGCTGCAAGTTTCGTGGGATTAGGTTGTGAATATGAGTATCATTGATTCCATTGATCATATATAGTCATTGATTATATATTGATTAATTATATTGCTGTCGCAGATTATATATTTGATTTTTTCTTTTTGAATTTTAGTGTAGTGATGATTGAGTTTTTTATTAATAAATAAAATGCAGATTTAGATGTGGTTTCTTTTTCACCCTCTCCATTAATGATTTTTTTTTTTGTCATTATGTAGTTTTGTTCTTTGTCAATGTGAATGTTATTGGTGTGACGTATTGTTACTCTGATTGTTCATTACAGTCTTATATCCTCTTCTGATCATCAAGTTGGACTATTTTCGAAATTTATGAATTTATTTAATATAAGTGCAAAAGAATTATTTTGGAGAGTAAATAAAATTTTAACTATTTATAGAAAAAGAGACATCAATATATATATAATAAAATCTACATCAAGTTACATTTTTTATAAATTAATTATTATGAACAGACTTTGTGCAATTTTTTTTTCTTTGCCAAAATTAGTGCGCAATTCATAAAACTAAAATCTAGTTGAGTTCAACATGAAGTAAAGAATCAAGTTGATGAGGTGTGTATATATATAGATACATATATTAATTTGAACTTGTGTTTTGATATTTCACTAAATAAATAATGTACATGCAAATGAATTATACTCTTCCTAGTTTTAAATATAGAAACTCGTTGGAGGGTTTGTTCAGTTCCCAAAAATGGAAGGCCACAATCTCGATCCTTTATCGATTATATATTTTTTTTCTTTTTTCAAAACCCCATATAAAGTTAGGTTCTCACAAGATGTAATCCCTCCGTTAAAAAATATAAGACATTTTTAGTCGTTTAAAATGTAATCATTATCTTTTTTTTTAAAAGTGTCCCAATTAATAATGATTTTATATTTATTATAAGGTATTTAATAAAGGTAAATATGAAAAGATAAGATTAATTTGAAAGTAGGTAACTATTTTATTGTAGGTGAGATTTAATTAAAAATGTCTTACATTTTTTAACGGAGGGAGTATAAGCTATGTTGATGATACTTGAACATAAATAATTAAATGGATGGATTTTCATATTGTAGAAAAACCAACACATTTTTTTGCAAGTAATTAACATGATGTTTTTTTAATTTGCGTGAATTAATTGACTAGCTCTCTTAGGACATGAAGAAGTATTATTTTTTAAAACAAATTCACTGTCAATGCAGTTTTTATATATATATATATATATAATGGGGCCAATAAGACAATAATAGTATATAAACTATTATTATAAAATTATTAGAAATTATTTGTATTCGTTTTTTAAACTCTACAAAAAAATTTAAAAGGATAAAACCTCTAATTGTTTGAGTAAAAATGATTTCATTTCCAAAAGAACACTGTGCAACATTACAGATCAAACTGACCAATTAAAAAATAAGACAGTGGCCAAAAAAAAAATCATAGTATAAGATGATAAAACCAATAGTTTTTATTCACAATCAGAGCGTTTTAGTGTTCCACTAATAATTTGTGAAAATGAAAAAGCCTGAGATAATTTTTAAAATATGCAACTGGCAAGATAGTGATAATTTATCTACAAAGATGAATGTGGACACATTTAATTTGTTTTGACTTATTTTATTTTAAAACTAATAATGATAATAGGAAGGACGGCTCTAGTTTATCTAGAATTTTTTAAAAATTAATATCAAATTAGGATCTAATCGTAACTCAAGTTCTCAATGGTAGCTAACCAAATAGAGCAAAGAACAATGGCAATGAGAGTCATCTAAGAAGGAAAATGAAGGAATAAGGGATTGATACTATCTCAAGAGGAGAAACAACAATGCCAAAACAGAGAGTGGGAAGGAGCCAGAGAATGAGACAATTTTAAAAACTATATTATAAAATAATTTTTAAAAATAAAAATGGGAATAGAAATCAAATATGCCCTGAATAATTTTTGTGTAAAAAAATATAATTATTCAATATTAAAAAAGATAACCACCTACACTGAACAATTCCAAATGGTCTCCAGTATCAGGTGTCAAACCCGGTCTTGTTCGATGGTTAACTCTGAGCTAGTTGGGCCTGCGGGCCGGGTTGCAAGTGTTTTTTGGTACAACCCTGCGTTTTCTATACTAAAAATTACAGGTGTTCAACTTGTACCTAAAGGTGAACATTGTTCGGTTCGGTCCTAAAATATACAGAACTAATCGATCGAATAATACTAAAAATAAAAACCAAATCGAACCAAACAAACCAATCGAACCGAACAAGGACCGAACTGAAATTTGATAATTCGGTTCGGTCGGTTAATTCGTTTTTTCAGTTTCATATTGGGCTATTAAAATTGAGCTCATTTTTTAAATATTAAAACAAACAACACTACAAATTTGGGCCTTTTTTTCTATTTATTTTTTCAATATGAGCCCATTCTAGTTACACTCATATGACATAAAATCCAAATATTATAAAGGCATAGAGAATCAAATAAACAACCACAAATAAACACCGATGATCAAATAATGGCTTCATAATCCAGTCACAACACCTACTGATGAGAGTGACTGACTGAAATAGGGTTTCAAGTTATGTTATTATTTTTTATTCTTTATTAAAAATAAAAATAAAAATAAAATAAAATAATTTATAAATTAAATATAATTTATAAATTAATAAATTATATGTAGTTCGATCAGTTCGGTCTATTCAATTTTAAATTTTACTAACCAAATCGAACCGAAAAATCAAATAGACTGAGTCAAATAGATAAAATTCGATTCGATTCAGTTCGATTTTCAGTTTCAATTCAGTTTTGCTCACCCCTACTTATACCTATTTCAATTGACGAGTCTCATTCTGGCCCAAAAACAATCAAAACGGGATTTTAAGAGACAAGATAGGAAAGGAGTTCGAGATGAAATGGGATACAAGATTACCATTGCGACGTCCCATCCCATCCTAAATATTATATATATTATTTTTTATTTTAAAAATATACATGAAATATATTAATTATATTAATATAATTTATATTTATATTAATTATATCAATTATAATTTCAATACTTGCAATTATTATGTAAAACTAAAGTTTTTTATATTAATAATTGTAATAGCACAGAGTAAACAAGGTGATATCTTTCTTTATAGCATATTAATTATATTAATATAATTTATTCTTATATCTATCTATTTAATAATTTTTATTTATATCATATTTCTTCTATTTTTGAAAGAGTAATTAGTTTGGTAAATCTCAACTAAAATAGAAGAACAATGATTTGATGTTGTGCTTGGCTTGCCTATTATTATTGCTCCTATAGCTTAAAGATCACTTGTAATTGCTATTATAATGTGTAGTTGTAGTTAATGTAATTCAATAATTAACTGTAAATTATTGTGATTTATATGTTTGTGTTATTTTAATTTTAAATTTAATAAATTATATAATTTAAAATTTTAATAAATATTATTATCTAGATACTTCTTCTACATTGTTTGATTTATCAAGATGGCAGGACGTCCCGATCTCGTCCCGGTCCCATCTCAATTCCTAACATGATAGGATGACTTTCGGAACGGGATAAGACATAAAACTAAAGTTTAGTTTCAATCTTTTTTTTTTTGGACAGTACACGAGATAGGGATGTCTTGGTCCCATCCATCTTGTGAATGCCTTGTTAGAAATCTTAAAACAGTCCTGATATAAACATTTTTTAAAAGAGGTCCTTAATTCTCATTTTCTTGTCCCAAAATGCAGAAGTCTACGCAGCTATAATAACAAATAGACTTTAATATCAACCAACTCATGAGAAAATGGACAGAAAGCAAAATTTTAATGATTGTTGAAAATTTTGTTTTCTTTGAATTTTTGCGTTTGTGGTGTTTTGTCTAAAAGGGGGAAAAAGGGCATTCAGATGCGGCTTTTCTCTCTCCATTTCATTAATGATATGGCACGTTTTAGGATTGTGTAGATTTTCTCTTTTATATAATATACTAAAAAAAACGAACGTGAAATTAGTTTTGTTTTTTTGGGCTCCTTCCTTGATACAGTATTTTGTCTCCTTTGTTTAGTTCTGTATTTCAGTTTCCATCCAAAAAATAAAATAAAATTGTCACAATTGCATCACAATTCCATCACCAAAATTATTGATATACTCTTCTAATCCTATTTATAAGTTATTTTCAACGTGCTTCATCAATATTAAGAAAAACTTTAAAATTCATTAACTTTGTCTTAAAATTTAATGAGTTCTCAACTCTATCCCTATTAAAATATGCATACTTCAATAAATATTTTCTCTATCCAACATTCAATGAAGAATAAAAGAGGAATTTTACGATAAAAATTTAATGACGTAACTTATAAGTAATATCAAAAAAATTTTTCTCCTCTATCCTTTAAATAGGACCAGAGGGAGTAATTATTTGATGCAAAAAAATTTATAGATTGTTTACCAACAAATTTTTTATAAATTATTTAATACTAATTTCATCGCTAATTTCTCCTTAGAGACGGAATTTTGCTTCTCAAATTCTTTCTGTCGTTACGAATAATTTAACTTATATTATAATCATATTTGATACTTTAATTTATATATGAAAACACAAATATATTATAATCTTTATATTGTAATTTAGCTAATATAAATTAAGTTATAACTAATAATTCAATAGTTTGATTGTTCTTTTTGAACATGACGAAGATACTTTGATAGGGAAAATCCGTCACAACACACACATGAAGACACGCATGATAATATTTTGCTTCAATAAACATAAGAGTTGTGGGAAATAATCTTTTCAACCAAAGATGGCTCCTATAGTATATATATTGTATTGATTGATGATACCCCCATCATGTAGTCCTCTTCATGAACATTCTACCATGTTATTTTTTTTTTAACCATAAATAAAGACAGTGGTGAAGCCAGGATCTTAGGTCAGAGGGGGCGAAATCATTTACATATTCATAATTTAAAAAAATAAAAAAAATTATTTAATAATTACATACCTTATAAATTTTCTCTACATGATTTCATGTTTTTGAATTGTTAAACAATCTACTCATTGTCAATGTTTTCAAATATATCTTTTTTAATATAAGTCATAAGATAATCATTCATCTATGGATTCTCCATTCAATTGCACAACCAAATTTTTACAAGCTTTATAACAGAAA